GCCACATGGCACCCGGACCCCTCGTCCATTCGTCCACCGAGGCCTCCACCACTGACTCCACCCATGGCCTTCGATCTTCCGCCTTCCACCCATCAGCAACGAAGGCATCGACGGCATTCTTCTCAGCCTCGGTAACAGCTTCCTTCTTGGCTGCCTCGGCCACCTCGGCGGCAACCTTGGCGGCTTCGGCAGCGGCCCTCTCTGCGTCAGCCTTCCCCTCGGCCCTGGCGATTATTTTGTTATTCTCGAGGATGGAGTTGAACGCCTCCGTCTCCCGCCGGAGGGACTCTCGGACCTCCTGGAGCTGTCGCCGGGACTCCGTCAGGGCTTCATCAGCCTGCAACTTCTGCACCTGGTATTGCTCCATCCTCTGGAGCAGTTCCCCAAGCCCGAGGGCAGCCTGCGAACCAAAACCGTCATACAGCAATGATCAGCTTGGTAAACTAAAAATACACCAGGCCCATCAACTAAACAAAAGTTAAGAGAGAAACTTACAGTGACGGAGGCTTGGAGCACCTTGGCACTGAGGGCGTCATCCTTCGCCCTCGAGAGCACCGACTTGTCAGTCGGGGGCGTGGCACCCTTTAGGAACTCCCTCGGGTTGAGGGTGCCATGCATGATGGCAGTTCCCTTGGTGATGGAGAACTGCACATCATCCCGGGGCCAGGCCAGGTTGTTGCCTTGGTCCCCGGGGGGAGGAAGAGCATTTGCTGGGGGAGAAGAGGAGGAGTGCTCTTCGACAATGACGAGGGGGGCGTCCTTCTTCTCAGGGCCCCCCTTCTTTTTCTTCTTCTCCGGAGGCATCACGCCCTTCCCGGCATTTTTTCTCTTGGGCTCCGCCTGGGCTCCCCCGGCGCCGGCACCGGCACCAACAGCTTTTGAGGGTCCCTCACCCTCCGGGACCCGAGTGGCCCCCTCTCTCTCGAAGAATTCATCGACGGGTTTCTGAACCCCCGTCTCTTTCTTCTTCTTCGGCTCCTTAGCCAGCTTCTTCTTCAATGCGGCGAAGTTGGAGACATCCATGCTGATACCTGCAAAGAAGTCAAACCGGAGGGGTCAACTACAACAAAAGCAGAGAAATAAGAGCATGCAAATATCCTAAGTACAATAAAGCGGACCCTCCGGTAACTACCTCCACAGCCACCGAAGGCTCTCTCGAGGACTGGGTATTGGTCATCCTTTTCGCCCAGAAAGCGGTACCGCCGGAAGCCTAGGGCCAGCAAGTCTTCGGGGAGAGTAGAGTCCTTGACCGTCACATGCTTTGTGGCCCCCGGCAGCAAAGCCGCGATCTTCTTCCCCTCCTTCTGGAGTGTGGCGTTTCCCACCTTCGGGTGCCGCCTGAAGTGGTTGCGTAGTTCCCCCGGAAATGGATTGTCTGCCATCTTGACGTAGCAGAAGCGATCCTTCCATCCTTTGTGGGACGAAGGAACGTCATCGAAAAGCCTGAAGGGGGCAAGCTGCTGAAGGTTGGCGAATCCCTCGGAATTGGTGTGCCCCCCCCGACACAAGTTGAAACTCTGAAAGAAGAGATCGAGGGTCGCGGTTACCCCTCGGGATCGGCACAGCTGCAGGAAGCCAGTTATATAGGAGTGGCTGTTCGGGGTTAGCTGGCAGGGGGCCAAACCCACATACCTCAGGTACTCGAGGAGAAAAGGATGCAGCGGAAACCGGAGGCCCATGGCAACTGACAGCACATGGACCGCAAAACAACCCTCCGGAGCTTGTAAAAGGAGATCGTTGGGTCTCGGTTCAACCACGGTAGCCGAGGGCCCCACGTGCAGCTGGGTAACGTAGCATTCGGCCCGGTCAGCCCTCGACTTCAGCGCGAGGGCCGCAGTGTTCAGCCATGAGTGCCCCTCGGGTATACCTACTGGTTTCCCGCAGTCCACGGCGGTTTGCTTGCCTTTCTTGGAAGCCTTCGCCTTCTTCCTCTTCTTCCCTACGGCAACATTGAGGGGCTCCGGATCTAATGGCCGGGAGGTGCTCGCCTCACCAGAACCACGAAGGGGGAGGACGGCGACAGTGACTTTTTGCCTCTCCTTCTCCTCCTCTTCTTCCGCTACCTGCAGCGCGAGGGCCATTTCTTCGTCCTCTACCACCTGCTCAAACTCCTCCGCCTCCAGCTCAGTTCGAAGGTTGTTTTGGACCTCCTCGGCAACCGCTGAATCATTGTTCGCCGAGGACTGCGCACTCGAGGACTCCACGTCCGAGTAGCTTTCCTGTTGTGCCGACGGCTCCCCCGAGATATCTTGGGAATCGCTTTGAGAGGACATGATTTTGAGGGAAGAGAAGTGTGACTGAGGGAGACTACCTAAGTGTTCCTACCGAGGGCTATCCTAACACCTCTAAACACAAGATCAAAGGAAAAAGAAGCAAAATATGCTAAGGTAGTAAGGAACGGAGCAAGAACTGACCTTGTGGCTTAGGGTTTGATCGGAGGAAATACTTTATCTCTCTAGAAATTTTGGCAGAGCTTCGCTTCAATTCTAAAACGCACAAACCAAATGAGTTCGAAGTTGGAGTATATATAGGCTTTCAGCCTCGAGAACTGGGCCTCGATTTGAAAAGGCCATCATTACGGGCCGCCGGTTCAACCAATGGATGGCACCCGCCCACCTTCAACCAACGGGAGCATACCACGTGTGCCCCTCTCCCAACGGCTATATTACAACGACTGTATTTCGGCAACACTGGGATGCCCCCGAACGATAGCCTCCGGTTACTCACTCACCGCAGCCTTCGGACAGCGAATTCCACCAAACGCCTTCGAGCCGTAGCAGCATAAGCCTTCATCACCCCTCGGGAACTCATCAACACAACGTGACTCCTTCAGCCCGAACTTGCCTTCGGCCTAAAGGAGTGGGGGACTGGGATTCACCCCTCGGGAATCATACACAACAAAAATTTCTTCATGCAACAATTTACAATTGACGCATACGGCCTCCGGGCAAACATCACAGTACAACCCCTCATCACAATACATGCAGACAATACATCTATGCTTTCCTCAGAAAACCCTCGACGTGTGAGGGACTGAGGGAAGCCCCCGGCGAACATGCGAAGGTTACGAATACCTTCCCTCAGAAAACCCTCGACATGTGAGGGACTGAGGGAAGCCTTCGGTAATCAGCAGAAGGCAAGTTCTCAAACAAAGGCACCCAGACAGGCGATGAAGCCTCCGGAGGAATCAACACAAGTACTCCTTTTCCCTCAAGTACCTTTCGGCAAAAGGAGTGAGGGACTCCTGATGGAGTATATGGCCCAAGAACCCCCGGCCCATAGACTCCTACTTCTCCTACACAAGTTCAATGAGCCCAGGGAACAACTCAGGCCCAAAATGCAGCGGCCCAAGCCTCAAAACGGCCCGGAATACACACTGGGGTGCCTTCGGCCTCCTTGGCCGAAGGCTCCAGAACTCACAGAACCGCCATATTCGACCATGCGAGGCTACTGGGAGAAATTGACAGAAAACAGGAAGCCCTCGGCTGAACCAAGCCTTCGGCCACACAAGAAGCCCTCGGCTACACAATGAGCCCTCGGTTACATGGGGAGCCCTCGACCACACGAAGAGCCTTCGGCCGAACAAGCTCAATCATCGAAGATTCCTTTTAGAGACAGCCAACCACCGCATTTAATGCCACGTCACATCCGCCAACCGCATTCAATGCGGTTGACGTACCACTGCCGGTGCCACCAGGCTGATGTGACCCTTCGGCCGTTGGATTACTGACACGTGTCCTCTCATCGCATTTATTGCTGCTATAAATAGCAGCCCATTTCTCCTTGTAATAGAGACAATCGACACACAACTCCATATCTCGAGTTCATTTAATAAATCGACTCTCTCTCCTCCTATTTGCTCTGACTTCTCTCTAAGTTATTCCCACAATAACCCCTCGGATAAGATACCCCCGGGTAGACTATCCATCATCATATAAAGTACTCCGTATAAAGATAGAGTTTTTTTGAAATAAGTATAAAGAGAGAGTTAGTTACTTCATACAAAACAATGTGACTTGTTAGATACTAAACAGCGGTTTTAAGTCTAAAATGACCCGAATCAAAATATTGTCTGTCAAAATTACTCTAAATATCCAAATATTCAAAACAAACACATTCCAACTAAAATAAAATATAAATACTATACTACTAAAGAACTAGAATAAAATCTTTTCACAAAACGGTTCTTGACACATATGTGGTTTCGATGTAGGACAAACTGCTACAATATAGGTGAATACAAAATTTTTCTTTTTACTTCATTCTGGATAGACGTAATGACAAAAACAATCTTTATGGCTCTACCTAGCATTCCCGACGTACTCCAAAAGAAGACAGACAAAAACCATTGATAATGTGAAGTTGATCGAGACAACAAAACTAGCTAATTCCTGCATCGAGGGGGCACAAAACACACCAGAGTGCAAGTTACCATGATAGAACCGCCATAAAACAAACCAATTACAACAACATAAGAAGAACAATCAAATTGGGTAATACCCCTACCAATAATCTCCGAGAGCGGATGTCACTTATAAAAGAAACAAGCCTCAAGATTCAACCCTAGGATGAGAGAGAGTCTATCTCTCCCTTTCCATCACTCAGCTTCGTCCCAACTACCCGTCCCTTTTGTCGTCCACCTCACTCGCTCTCTTGGTTTGTCGGCTGCACAAGAGGTTTGCTAGTTACCCGAGTATTACACGTTGAAGTTCTTTGATGTTTGATTTTCTAGTGCGGTAACCGTGGGGGAACATTTACCAAATTTTAGTAAAAAGAAAAATAATATAGAAGAAAGGGGAACCATACCAAAACCTCTTGAGTGAAGGCATACCCAAGAAACGAGCAATTGGGGGAGGGCGCTAGGCCTGACCCAAAATAAATAACAAAAAGACATGAAAAATTACTCAGAAATTCTATGGAAAAAAGGCACATCAAAACCTCTTCAGAGAAGACATACCTTCACAAAATACATGATAAAAAGAAATGAGCATTTTGGGGGGGCTAGGCCTGACCCAAAAAAAAATACCTAGAAATTCTATGAAAATAAGGCATACCGGTATAGTCTGTACTTAAAGCTTTCTTGATTAAATGAGGAACATTCTTAATGCTCAAACAGGAAATTAAGCTGTTGGGATCATATAAGGTATAATCCTGAGTAAATATATGTGCCGTCCAGTTGGCTTCATCAAGAGTTTGTTGGAACATTATCCCAGCCAAATTGGAACCTGGCTGCATTTCCTGTAGATAAACCTTACATCTCCCTGGGTAAGATGTATCTTGAAGAAGAGAGATGAGCCTTAGACAATTCGTCTCCATTTCAAAGCCTGTAAAACCATTATCCAGCGTCCATCGGAATGCAAACACAGCGGCTCAGATTTCAGCTTCCAGAGCAGACTCCGCTTGGAATGAAAGCTGAGGCCACCCATCGATCTATCGAGTGAGAAAGAGGCATCAACATTAAGTTTTAATAGATTCCTAGATCGAATCCATCTGTTTTTTTTTGCCGGGGAATACTACCCAAAATTATTAATAAAAGTTAAGGTTACAAGAGATCGTATAAAACGATACAGAGAAGAGAAAGAAAAACGAACATTCAAAAGCTGAAGTAAAATATATAATAAAAAACATGGATTTGACAATTGAAATTATTTGTAGGTATCCCGACCGTCGATGAAATGGATCTGTTAAATCTGTTGTGGAACTGAATTGCCTTCCAGTGATAGATTATAGCTTTCGAGTGAGAAGACTTGTATCTCTGGAGAGCTGTAGCAAGTTTGTGTGGAGAGTTCAACCTAGCATCAACATGGTAAATGTAATAATCGTCTTCATGTTGAGGATATCTAGATTGACTTCTTGTGATCATGGGGTGTGATGTATAGCCCACCTCATAAAATAGTTGTTTTGATCTGAGTGAAGCCATTGGGTTCCTCTTCCGATGGAGAGAGCGGTGGACCTGAAAGAACAAGGTTAGGAGTAACAGTGGTGTCCTCAGATTGATTATCATCATTGGACAGGGAACGATCAAGTGTAATATCGAATCCATCTGATTATTTCACCTTTGTCCTCGATTTGTTAAGCTTTGGTGAATTAAGTATTTCTTTCGGCAAAATATTAAAACTGGTATTACACTTCCATTTCTTGAGATTAAGAGACCAATTTTGTGTATGAAGTTTGATTTGAAAAATTATATAATCGGTCGAAGAAATCGACTCCTTACTCTCCTACGTCAAGCTCGCATGCGCCTTCCATATGTGCCACGTAAATTCATCCTTTATAATTTTGCAATATTACTTTTTTTGTTTTCCAAAAACATTATCACTTCCACTTTTAATAAATTAATATGCCATTCCTAATTTTCTACAATATCATTTATTTATCTTCCGCACAAATTTTAACCACATAGTTTTTACTTTATTATTTTATGTGCTGGTGAAATTTGACATAATTATAAAAAACATAGTGATTGAGCAATATATTTCCTCAGCCTCTTAAAACTTTGTCATATTTCCTTTCTGAATTATCCCAAAAACTTTGTCACTTTTCTTTAAATCAATTAATTTGAGATTTCTGCTATTTCTCTCTCCTCTGCACAAACCTCAATCACAAAGTTATTTTTAATTTATTATTTTCCGTGCCGGTCAATCTTGGCAAAATTTTAATGGACAAAGGGAGCATGTGATATTTTCGAAAAATATAATAAGTTCAACATTACGGAACATGTTTGATAGGTAAAAATTTAAACCTTTTAGATTTTTTTTACTATTTAAAAAACCTATTAAAACTCTTAATTGCATAATATGTTTGGCCTGATATTTTTTATTTAAAAAAAAATATTTTTTAGAAGTTACACTAAGTAGTTTCTGAGATGGACTAACACTTTCAACCCTAGTTAGTCATAACTGGTTGTTATATTCAACATAACTAAATCAATCAACCAGGTTTTATCAAACAATTACAACCTTGTTTTAAGATTTTTTGAGTCACTATAGGTAAAGATTTTTAAAAAACTCATAAAAAGTATCTTTTTAGACCCTCATTTGTGCCAAACATACTTTAAGATGTTTTATATTCAAATCAGACAAAATTTAAATAAATTTTACAGGACCATACGAGAGTTACACAATAGAACAATAAACACACATCAAACATTTATTATACTAGACTAGATGAAACCAGACCAGGTAAGATGAAACTAGACAAGACTAAAACTAATAAAGGAAGATCAGATTAAAAAATTCCAATCACATTAAAACATCTTTAGTGTCTAGAATTCAAAATGTCCAACTCTCATTGTAAATAAAATGAGTTGGAAACCTCATTCGAAATAACTTCTTGCAATAAACACCAAAATTAATTTAGTAATTATCTAAATAATGTTTTAAGGAATAGTTCTAGGGGGTGTTTGGATCTGATTCTTAAACTACTTCTGCTTCTTCAGAGAGCTGAAGCAGAAGTTGGAAGACTTGGGTGAAAGTGCACAAGTGATTCTGGTGCTCTAATTTACTCATACAATCAGTTTTTTTAGAGGTAGGGGGAGACTAGCTTCTGAAAACTGATTCTGACTCTGAATCTGTTTTAAAACAGAAGTAGAAGCAGAATCTGTTCCAAACACCCCTAAGTAGGAGTGAATATAATGTGGAATTTCAAAATATGAACACTTTATTTTTATTTCGTAAATAAGAGTAATTATTATCATGCTTGAAAAATGTTGTCAATTTTGCTCGTATATAATGTCAAGAGATAGTAGTAAAGTTTCACGATAACAAATTAACAACAAGATACTCCTTTTTGAAAATTTTCATTATTTGTGCTTATATTTCGAAAAGTTTCTATAATGTTTTTGTTCTGTTGATTTAGAATTGCTTTGTTTTTACCCTATATAGGTTCATCAAATTTACAAAATTTCATCTTGAAGAGCCTAACATTTGACAACCTAAAAGACAATTTATCTTTGAATTTGAAAAGCATGAATATAAAACATGAATAACTTAAAATATTAATAGATTAATTAAATCATTGCATAAGGGTATACTCACGTTCAGATTAGTGGAAGTATTTCATTAATCCTTTCCATAACTAAAATGTAAACACTACAATTCCAAATAATTACAAGGCACTATCATGATTATTCATGCATGTCTCTATACACCTACCTACACTTCACTAGCAAACTTACAGTAATGAACCAAACTGATTATATTGAAATTATAGAGGAAGCGGTCTAGTCCAGTAGTCGCCGACTCAGTATCCCTTATGCGAGTTCCCGGGTTCAATTCTCAATGGAATGAGATTGATCCCAGTTTACCTCATGTCCCCCAAACCACCTCCCCCGACGCCCCCTGGGGTAAAAAAAAAATAGAGTCTACAATACGTGACTTTCACAGGTTTGGTTCTTGGTGTTTGATTGAACGATTCATAGGTTATCTCAATTTATTTGAACTCATACATTTTTTCATTAAGTAGTGTTAAATCAAATATCTCATCATCTTTGTGGGTATATTGATCGAGACTTATCCTCCTTTGACAATGATGCCATGTTCTTGGTTCATTTTCAAGTGGACATCTCATGAGACTATAAGCATGATTTTAGGTGATTTTATGATTTTTTTGCCTTCCTTTGCTACTATATATAGTCTTATCTCATGAATATAGAAAGACTTATTGCCCTGAATGAGACTAAATTATTACTGAAATTCCTAAATAGGACCATGTTTAATTTTCTTCCCTAAATCGGACTCAATTACCCTTTTGCCCTAAATTTTTTTCTCTCTACGCCGGATATGCGTATCTCCTTATCCCCAGCGCATTTCTTCTCTCAGATAGGCCCTCCAACTTACATAAAAAGGTCAAATAAGCCCTTATAAAGGAGGTTCTATCCGGCCGTCGCCATTTGGGGCGATTCCGGGTGGAATCTTTTGATGAAATTTTTTGAGCATCTTATTCAATAAGACTAGTTTACTCATACCAAAGTTCAACTAAAACTTAAATCAAGAAGACATTCAAATGAATTCTTGAAGATAACCGCACAATTAAAAGCGCATTTATCTTCAAGAATTCATTTAAATGTCTTCCCGATTGAATTGTTAGCTAAAATTTGGTATGACTAAACAAGACTTAATGAATAAGATTCTCAAATAATTTCATCAAAAAATTCCACCGGGAACTGCCCCAAATGGCGACGGCCGGATAGAGCCTCCTATATAAGGGCTTATTTGACCTTTTTATGTAAGTTCGATGACCTATTTGACCCTTCTCATACATATTATTATTTTTTTGGCTATACACATTGGAAATTCGTAATAGAACAACAGGCCATACTTGAATAACAAACATATAGCAATTTTACACAAACGACATGTTTGACGTTTAGCGATTATCGGATTATGTTAGCGAGTTGAAAATAACGAATTCAATTAGCGGGTTTGACTATCGAAATAAGTTTGCAGGTTGCAAGAAGATAATTGGTAACTTAGCTGTTTGACAATAACAAATAGTAGAACGCCATATTCCAAAATGCTAACAAAAACTCTCCTAGAGCTGAACGGTTATTTAGCAAACAACATTTTCACTTATTAAAACGCTAAAAAGGGTCAAACCGTCATTTATAACTGAAATACCATTTTCCAAACACTCTAAAAACTACTTATTGGAATGTCTTGAGCATTCTAAGATATGTCATCAACTCAAGGAAGAAGACTGTAAAGTCATTTGTGTTACAATAATAATAATCATAATAATAATAATAATAATTAACTAAGCCTATTTTTTTAAAGTAAGGAGTAACAAATAAAGGTAGGATGATATGAAAATAAGGGTTCTTCTTTAAATATGACTAAGGTAATTCCCAATAACGTGACTAATTTTACATATATATAAATAAAAATCATGATGTCATTGTCATATATTTATGTTATTAATAGATGTGACTGTCACATTTGTATGTCAGATACGGATGTCACTGTTGTTGGTGATGTCATGTTGATGGCCGGGTTTTTTTTCCCAACAATGCTTTCAAGTTGATTTAAGGAAAAGCAGTGAAAAAAAAAAACATGGCAAGGAAACATTTACGAAAATGAACTCAAGCTACAAGAACAAAACATGGCTTCAATTTTTTAAAGTTTATATCCATATGTACGAAGGATTAATTTAATGATTGAACAAATCATAATTGCCTACTTTGTTAGATCGTCCAATGTGTTTGAAGCTACAATTGGATCTTCTTGAGTTGAAAGGCTTAATTAAAACGCCATTAATGGCGGTTGAGGTCAAAGAATCCATCCATGACAACCATCACTTTGGCGAAGGAATTACATTGCTATCGGCAAAAGATGCAGAAAGAAGGGAGAAGATTGGTTCATGGGGAGGTGATGAAGAACTGGCTACAGTTTTGTAGATCGAGCGACTTGCTCTGTGACTTTTATGATCGAACCCTTTTCAGAACGATCCAAATTCCAAACCATCTAATTGGATAACTGTTGAGACTTTGTTGCTCCGGCTTTGTTCTTCCCACTTCGAAACACAAGCTAATGGAGATCGACGAAGAAGGCAATGTGGACGACCACTCTATGACTTGTTACTACTCGTTATTTCAGTTGGTTAGAGTAGGCAGATCGTTTTCATTATTAGTCTCGTAACTTTAGCCACTTGCAAATTTGGTCTTATAACTACTCCCTCCGTCCCTAAATGTTGTTCCAATTGCGGATTACGAAGGTTGACCGACGATAAAGTTAAATGATCCCCGTGAAAACTCGGATTATTTTTAGTAAATAAAATTTACATATTCAGAAACTACATTAAACCCGCTACAAAGCCTGCAAAAAATAATTCAACTTTTATAAAATTTTGATATAAAAAGTAAGAGTTTAAGAGTGATTTAAGTTGACTCTCGATAAACGAAATGGAAATTCTTTTAGGGACAGAGGGAGTATTTAATATTTGCGATTTGAGGACTTTTCCCTGAAAAGTAAACTTTCCTGCCAAAGTATACCGGAAAAGATATTGCCGGCGTCGGATTTTTTGGCCGAATATTATATTGTACTTTCTGGTGGAAAAGTTTTTAAATTGCAAAGATTTATTAGTTAAATGACCAAAACTGAAAGTCACTAAAGTTACATGACCAATAACGACATCAGTAAAAAGATACAAGACTAAAATTGTCAATCTCTCTTTTTGGAAAAACAAAAAACAATTATATTTTTGTCTTTCAAAAGTATATGCGTAATATTTATGTAATTCTTCCATTAAAATAACATAACATTTACTAACCTTCTATAACAACAACAACAATAATTTGTATGTTTAATCATGTGATGTATTCATACAACATCTCATTTATATTTATGTCAATTTAAATATCACAAATTGGACTACACAATATATAAATGTGATAGTACATGATCTACGTGTGTACAAGATTAATAATGAATAAACACATAAATCAACACATTTCACAATAAAGTATTCAATATCCTTATAGGCTTAAATAATCACAATGCATTACAAAACTTGCAATATTTTATCTTAATATATAAAGCTGCCTTCACATTGGATTACATTTTACAAAAGTTAGGCATATCTATAAAAAGAAAGCATTGTAGAATCAAATGCAACATCTTCTTTGGGCTTCTGGGACGACCTCAATTTCTGCTGATGTGCATGATATTGTATCCAGCTCAACTCTTGTATCTTTGGTTTGGTTATTGGACTTGATGGGCTCACTCGCTGCCATATCTTTAGTTTCCTTTTTCTTCCCCCACAAAAAACCATATAGTCCCATCACCAGCAATACTGCTCCCAACACGCTGTATCATGGAGTGTCATAAAAAAAGAGAAAATCCAACGTATCATAAGTTGAGCTATTTATATTGTCAGAATTGGGATGTAATCCAAATGATATATGGAGTACATATTAATACCTCTATCCCACTAATATTGAAACATGAGGAGATGGTGTTGTTAGCCGATTATTAAGAAAAATGAGTTTATATGGTTGATATTGAATTGGTAAATTAAGAACAAAGTAAGAATAATGTAGAACTCACAACTTTATCGAATTTGGTATGAAAAAATTTTAGTGAGAGAGACCAAAAAATAAATTCATTGTTGAAATGTAACCTTTGAAGTGTAGTACTCCAAAATGTTTTTGATACACCATGACCGTTTTTATCAATGTAATAATGCACTTTGAGATTTTTTTGGGAAGAGATCAATGTTTTGTCCTATTAACAAAACTCATACTAGGATTTGCCTTTTTTTTAGTAATTTAATCAACTGAGAATTTTTTACTTCGATTTGCTTTAATCTCATATTAAATAGATCAAATCATACAAGATTTAAATTGATCAGACCATGGTTAGAGAATGTCAGACCTTTATTGCATCAACCTAAATTTAAACCAACCAGACAAGACAAGAAAATTTCAGACCAAGGATGTTTTTTAACTGGATTGTGATTTTCTGGTTTAATATGTTCTGATTTTGTCTGATATGGTTTGTTTAAGTCAGGTCTGATCCTAACCGTCCTTCTCTACTCTAATAGATATCTGTCCTATGCATATTTTAATTTACAATTACTATCGATGTCTGAACCAATCTAATCTAGTTTGGCCTTGCTCGGGCTAAAACTAGTTTGACTAAAAACATTATAAGTAAGAACTTAAAAAGATCGAATTACAAATCCACTTCAGATATTTTAACTTGAACGAGATCCAGTCCCAAACTAGATCCAATCAAACCAGAATTTATCAAACAAAACTTAAACAAATTAGACAAGCCCTTTCCAGACTTTGATGATTGTAAAATTTAGATAGACCAAATATCTATCAATTAGACTCAAACAGATCAAATCAGAGCTAATAAACAATTTCAATTCAATTGAAAACATGCGGGTGACTTGATTGGCTAGAGGTAGCAGTTTTATTTTACCCCTATGATTCTTATGGATGCATCTATCTAATATATACTCCTATATACTATTAACTGTAATAAATAGGGGAGCATAGTAGCATACAACATACTGCTATAATACATGAATTAATAAATATAAGGTGATTAATTAATTACCCTCCGCAATGAAGGGTTTCCTTGAAGAAAAGAGTTGAGAAGAAGGCAGTCAATATAAGCGCCAATGGACTGAACATGCTTGCAAACACTGGGCCTTTGTTGTCCACAACCCATGCTTGTAGCCAATATGATATCCCAGTCACCACTATTCCCTGCACAACCCATCCATACCATTCATCATTTCCTCCACCCACATATTAATCATAACCCCAGTCTTTAATAATAAGGACTTAATTATAAGCACCAATTCAATCATGGTTACGAGGTTACATATTCCATTGCATTAATGCATTGTTATCCCTCCGCTATTAACTTCCTACCTTGACCTACACACATATTTAGGAAATAAATTTGACTTTACTGTTTAGACACTGTTTAGACACTGTTTAAACACTGTTTTGCACTGTTTGACACGGTTTTGATGTAGGATAATTTTTCCATTTACGGAAATGAGAAGATGATTTTGGGACGGCCCAAAAAGGAAATCAGGAAGTTAATTGCGGGACGGAGGGAATATATACTTTTTGTAATACTTGAGATTTATTTTAACGGATTAATAGGACTACTCATACCAACAAGATGCATCACCTTTTAAGAGAGTTCATCACCAAGAATTTCAAAGTTAAGCGTGCTTGCACGGGAGTAGTCTTGTGATGGGTGACCCCCTGAGAGGTTTGTGAGGACAGTACTAGAGATCCAGAGGTGTGTGGAGTAACTACCTTGGGTCCTACGGGGCCGGGGTATTACCATACACTTTTTACTTTCTCTCCTATTTTACTTTTAGAAGTAATTTTTCTACTTTTCATATTCTCTTTCCTGGTTAAAGGTAATCGAATATTTTTCAAATAAAATCTTCCAAGAGGGAAAGCTTCCCGAAGAGAAAAGTATAGCAAACAAAAAATATATAAAGAATACTTTAACAAAGTATACCATGTGGCTACAATATAAAAACCTTGTACTTTTTGTGAATGTGCAATACATGTACAACATATCTTAAACTACATGAAAAGTCCACTTTACTACACGAATTAATAGGAACCACACTTACACTAGGATAAATAACTAATATTGTGCATGATTGAAAACATTGAATTAATTTGTTATGAATACCCCAAGCTATTTAGTCAAACCACTCACTCAATCGAGCTGATGGTCACATAATGTTCGACTTTTTAGTTTCTATTAACCATGTGTTCTTTTTTTGTTTTGTTTTAGTTTGTACTAAAAGATTGTGGTAAAAAATTACTGCTTACATATTAACTTACACAATATGCGACAGAGAGAAGATTGATGTCCCAGCCTAGTTTCCATGATGATAAATCCCTCTCTTCAAAGGCACCCCACAGTGTTGACATTAAGCAACAAATGGTGCACTGAAGCGTTACCAGCCGCAGCTTTGCTGGATATTGCTTCATCAGCGGAGCCTATAATTTACTCCGTAATATATCAACAACAATTAAAGATCAAGCTACCTATGATTTAATTACTTTCAACGTTTAATTTTTAAATGAAACTTATCTGAATATTCAAATATTGAACAATCCAAAGGATTAAATAAATAAAGCCAAGGTCATTTCTACCAATTTTAGTACACATATGTAGGATTGGATAAAGACAATTAATTTGCCCGTCAGTGATACATTTTTTCATCAGTATCATCATTATATAATTTGAAAAGGTTAAAATTTGTTTATGCAAGCAACAAATGTCTGTGTATAGACATTGATTTTTATTGAATTATTTATCTCACACCAAATTGTTATAACATATTAAATCATTATATATACAAGATGGAAACTCAAATCTTAATAATGTATGAAAGCCAAACACGCTGGCTGATAAACATGGTGTAATGTGGGCCTCCTAACGAAAATGAAAGATATGATTATGACGAAACAATGAAATAAACAAATGAGTGATGACACAATCAAGACGAAATATCTGATCGTGAAGAGTGTTTTAGTATATTTCATACAAGTAAAATATGAATTAGTAAATTACTATACAAGATCTCATACTACTATCCCTAATAAGGTTGATCTTTTAGAATGAACTTTTAAATCATAACCATTTGCGCGCCACTTTCATTAGTTTGAATGCTCATATCTACTCTTTACAATCATGTCAAGTGAAATTGCATGAAAATTTGATATTTGTGCATAATCGTTCGTGATAGTCAATTAGAAATGTCTATAATAATATATTTTTGTCAATACGGTGTGTGCCAAATTGAATTATTAATGCACATATTTTGTCTATAACCTAACTTTGACTACAAAAAAACATGAGATTGAAAGAGATTTTTAGTAGGGATTCGTCAAAATTAATAGAGGATTTGGCAGAGATATACTAAATATGTGCTAAAAACACTTTGACACGAGCTCTTTAGTATTAATCTTTACAAATTCCGTAACTTTTTGTAGTGTTTACAAAAATGTGACTAAGATCTTAGTCGCATTTTAATCTTTTAATCTTTTATACACATCTCAAAAAGCTATAGAACTTTTTGAGATGTGTATAAAAGATTAAAAGGTGTACAGTTTTTATTTTTAATACATCAAGCATGGTTGATTGTGATAAAGAACACACTACATAGGTACCTGCATGATGAGCCATAGTGACCAGGTCAAGTTAGCACCAAGAATAAGAACAGAACCTCTTATCCAGTCTTCTTTACTATATGCAGGCGTCTTTACAGAAAGGTGCGACTTTTGCATTGCTTCTTCATGTGTAGTAGTTGGATATAGCACAGGCCCTTTATAAAAAGTGAAGACCATGGCCCCAAACAGACTCAAGATACACCCCACCACTTTAGCTTTTCCTTCACTTTTTCTTATCCCCAGCCTTTCCAACCTTTTTTGTTGGCATTCATTGAAACAAATATATCCTCATTAGTGTGTATTTACTATTCATAGCTAGACATCAATAATTTATAATGACTTATTAACTTTTATACTCCATAGTTTTAATTGTTCAACATTCTGATTTGTAGTTAATAATTTCTTTTCACTAATATCTATATATCTTATGTTAGTAACAATTCAATCAGGAAGGCATTCAAATGAATTCATGAAGATAACTGCGCTTTTAACGGTACAGTTATCTTCAAGAATTCATTTGAATGTCTTCCCGATTAAAGTTTTAGTTCAAATTTGATATGAGTAAACTAGATTTAATGAATAAGATTCTCAAAAAATTTCATCAAAAAATTCTACCGGGAACCACCCCAAATGATGTCGGCCGGACAGAGCATCCTAAATATGGCCTTATTTGACATTTTTCTTCAAGTTTGAGACCCTATCTGACCCTTATATCTAAAATAATTGATATCAAAACGAAAGACAAATTACACATTCCACATTTCCACATTTCCACAAGCACTCGTTACTTCCGAGAATTAGTTACACTTTGGTTCTACGAGTTTTATGTCAATTTCACATTTAGTCTATTTTTTTTTTAATTTTGTCCACTTTTGATACTTGACTAATGTTTTTAACTATTTGTGGTCCTTTTCCGGCGTTTTTTATCATCAAAAACATTGCCGAAAGGACCATATATGAGCGAAAACACGATATCCGTTTATTAAAAGTGTACAAAGTGAAAGATGTAGACTAAATATGAAATTGACCTAAAACTTGTAGGACCAAATGTCAAATTCATTCTTACTTTCAATACCAAAGTTCCAGTGGATGACAAATGATAAAGTTAATTTCTCATTGATAAAACTTATCTTAACATTAATAATGTAAATGTATAGAACTCGTAACTGCACAAATAGTTCAATTGAACAGATCGAAAAAATGAATTTGAATCTGATCAAAAATTATTTTGTAGGATAAGATATTTGAAGAGAGTTATTATGCTAGTACAGAATTTCATCTGTTAGAACATTGAATTTTGAAGGTAGGAGTATTAATTAATGAAATACGGAATATATGTATTTAACTTTAATACTCTCTTCGTCCCATTTTACCTGTCTTACTTTCCTTTTTGGGTTGTCCCAAAACAAGTGTCTCCTTTCTTTTTTTGGAAAGAAATATGTGATCTACACCATTTCACTTTATTACACTCAAATCTAACTACAACTTTTACTTTTTCAACCACTTCATTAATAATCATGCCGAATCAAACTACGACACATAAAATGGGACCGAGGTTGTAATACATACAAAGTACAAACATACTTCGCATAAAGTATCTTAAACAATTACAGTAAAAAAAAAGTATCTTACACAATTCTTCAAAAAAAGTACCTTAAACAAATTGCTATGACAAATACCATAGCAGGAATAGTGTTGGTTACAGCGGTAACAAATGTGGCAGAGACATAATTCAATCCGGCATAAAACAGGTTCAGGCTCAGGTTCACTCTGCACTAATTTAAGATCACCAAAGTAAATGTTTGTTCCTCTTCAAAAAACAATAATGGCCCGTTACACAAAATTTGTACACATTTCACATACATTTATACCTTATTATCTCGCTACACAAACAATATACTTACACAGGCATATCGTACAATAATTCTCTGTGTGTAGAAACAATTACGTAGAAATATATGTTAAATGTCTACATATTTCGAGTACAAATATAATTTTTTTCCGAAAAAGACGAACTGCAAAATTCTTGCTCACGTACATTTCTTATTCTTGCTTTTCATGTATTCGTTTTATTAATCCAATTATATATCAAACACTACTACAGCCAAAATCGGATGTATATAAGGAGTACTTTTTTAGCTAATTGATTGAAGATGACGACTAATCTAAGCTTGATATATATAAACTCGTCTTTAATTTATGACAAAATATACTACAAACTGTGCAAAAGAGAGGAACATAGTATGGATAACAAATTTTTATTATAAAAGAAAAAAATATGTTGAAATGAATAAAAAATAATGAACTTGAAATACGGAGTAGAAAATCCTTGTATGAAGTACTCCCACCAGGGGAGGTTGGTTTTTCCTTGTTTGGGTCTCTAATGTGCTAAGGGATAACTTTCCCCCCAACTACTCCGATCGTAACACTATTTTTTTCGTCGTTCCTGCTAAATGCCGAGTTATGTCTTTTATACAATCTCATTTTTACCTTTTTAATATCAGAGAATTCAAACAATTCTCCCTTAAATAAGAAATCACTCCGTACAATACTATGTTGCATCGCATAAGTATACGTTATTAATAATTACGGAGTACAACATATGACTTCTATAAGTTACTCATTAAAAGTTGTGCTTCATGAATGAATATCTAAATAATACTCCCTCCGTCCCAAATTATTTTGCAAAGTCAACATTTTTTGGTCAATTAATAATAAAAGTCAATGCTCCCTATCGATAATTAATTCAATTTTTAATAATTAAAATATATATATTCAGAAACTACATAAAAATCACTTCAAAATTGTAAACTCCAAATTAGAATAATTAAAAATTGACATTCTAATTAAGCGAATAAAATGAAACTCTTTGACCCAAAAAGTCAAATTTGTAAATCAATTTGGGACGAAGATAGTATGAGTTAATAATATCAAATGAACAAGGTCAAATGAGATATGGAATTATGGACATGTGGTAAATACTACTAGTAAATGAATATAATAATCAAGAAACAATTAAGATGTTTTCTTTTGGACTGTTTCAGTCCCAGACCAGACCAGACCAGACCAGATCAGACCAGATCAGACCAGACTTGACTTGTGTAGTTATAAAATACACAGAGACCAGACGTTTACCAGACCAGACCAGTTTAGACCAGACCAGACCAGTAAATTTCAGTCCAAAAGAAAACATCCTTAAACTGCATATAGTGATTTTTCATTAGAGAACTAGCAGAAAAAAGGGATCTAGATTGACATACCCACACAAGGAAACAACACAAATCTTGCAGAGCATTTTAAACGTCAGGGGAGGTTGGTTTTTCCTGAAATCAAGATCAAAGAGGAATTAAGAAATAAAGTACTCCATAATAAAGAAGTACGGAGTATAACGTAAACTAAACTTTAAAAAAGATGGAGAGGGGACCTGTCAATGTATAGAGCAAAAGGAGCCAAGGCGAGAGTGGCAAAGGCTTGACGATAAGCAACAAAAATGGAAGGTTTCATGCCTCTGGAAATGGCGGATTTAGAGAAAAGGGTCATTCCTGTACACGTTATCTGAATAATCACCATTGCCCCGACTGCTCTGCTGTGCTTTCTCATCATCCCCATTATTATATTTCTTTCTTCAAGATCAATTGAATTCAGATGCTAATTTAACAAGTTGAGAACATATTCATATTTATACACACACATAGATCAGTGATGTGATGTGTTCCACCGCACTGAAAACTTAGTGCTTCCATCGCGCGACGACAGACGCCACTTTCTCTCTGTTTTTTCTTTTATTCCTTTTGTGTTCTGCACATATTACATATAAATAAAATAAATGTTTAAAAGAACCTGAGTACGGAAAAAATGTTTATACTTGAATGTCCAAGGAATCAATTCAACAAAAGTAGTACTAACAACTAAATCATTACTTTAATACTACTCGTACTTACTTCTTCTTGCTTGACTTATACGACTGACATTTATTTGTTGATTTAAAATATTGAAATCTAATCTACCATATGATAGTTTGATCGAAGGTGACCACGTACACTCATTCCTATAGACTCCCTCCATGACTTAAAATTAGCCACGTTTGAAATTTTCACAAATTATATATTTTTATTAGATACTCCGTATTATTTTTCTATTGAAATTTTTTTATAATAAAAATGACAGTACGTATAAAATTTAGTTTCATAAAAGTATAAAATTTATAATTTTTATAATATTATAGTAATACAAATTATGGTTCAAATTTCACTTGCTCTGTTCAACGTTCATCTAAAAATTTGTATTCCTATTTTAGTAAATAATTACCAATATCATTAAAAAGTGAACTTATAACTTAACGATTGTCATTAATGACTACTACGTATTATATTGTACTCACTCAAACTACTTTTCAAATTATACTCATATTACATTATTTAATTATTATCTAAAATTTATACTCCATATGATTTTTGAATGAAAACCTTAGGCCGGAGATGGAGTTAGTACTATGTATCAGGGACGGATCCGGGGGGGCGACCGCCCCCCTTGGACTTCCAAAATTTTCTACTATATATATATATATAATATTTTCACAAAATTTTCATACTTTAATTAGGTATATATGTTTTCGCCTCCCTTAACTTTTAGTTTTCAAAATTAATATATAGGCTCACATAATGCAATGCTCAATTGGAGATTTAAAAGAAGTAGAATATAAAATAATTTACATAACTTAAACAAATAAACAATAGAACTCGTTGTTTAAGACTTAGGGTACCAAAAAATTCTTAGTTTTGTAATGTTTAATTATCTTTATTAGATAATTAGTATTCGATTTTGTAAGATATCGAAAGATATTGAATATCAGATACAATAGTTAAATAGTATAAATGTTTGTTGACATTAAATTACACATTTCATTTACCTCTTACTTTCTAAAAACAATTTGTTGAATAGATAATACTTTAACTTATTTTAGCATTAATACAAATATAATATGCACCATATATATATGAATTAACATTACTACGTATCATATTATTCTAAGTATAATAATCTCATACATACTATTGTAATATTAAGAAAACTCATCATGACCCACAAATACCCTTCTTGGTAGACAAAAATCTCAATTCAAACCACTTTATCCTGTTAAGATTCATGTGGTTAAACAAGACATAAGTTACTTAAAAAGCATTGGTTGATATGTACCTTTAACTTTAACCACTTTACCTTCAAATAATATCATAAAATGTTATACTACGCATATCATATCCTTTCCTATTTTCAAATAATTTTCCTTTAATTTGTCATTTCTTAAGCTTTAATGTATCAATATTTTTTCTGGAGCACTTGTAGTTATTAAATCAAAGTTATATTTTCATTGTCTAAAATTAGAATTAGAATATACTCCGTAATAGATTTAATTGCCATCGTGTATGTAGTATGTACTAATGGAACTTTTTAAATAAAAAATAGCCACAGAGGCCTACACTAGCGAAAAAATTCGCCCTGCTACACTAGCGATTTTTTTCCCGTTCCGCTTACTAGCGAAAATTTTTCACTCCCTACACTAATGAAAAAATTTCGCCCCCCTTGACTCGAAATCCTGGATCCGTCCCTGCTATGTATGAAAAACTGAATAGCTAAAAATAACTCGGAGTATGTTTGTAAATATTTACAATATTTTCTAGTTTGATCTATATTCAAATGCTCTCAGCAACTTTTTTATTACTATTTTTTATGAATAATTTTAGAATACCCTTACTTTTTAACCTCATTATTTAAAATAATTTTCTATTACTCTGCAGTCTCCGCTACAAATCAAATTAAGTTAATTAACAATTTAACACCCTCTTTAAAGTTTAAAACTCACCATTATTAAAACCCTCCTCCCATCAACCAAATATAGTCCCTTCTCCAACCAAATGAAGTCTTCTTATGTGAATCCTTATCTTACGCTCTTTATTTATCATCTCTACATTCATGGGTTTACTAAGCCTCATCCATCTCAAATTTTGAAAATATTTATATAATATCTCTGTCCCGAAAAGGTTCGCCACATTGACTTTTCTTGGTCAATAATGGTGAACTTTGAACAATGATCTTAATTATTTTATTTATATATAATTTATAATTTTATACTTTTTATGAAAAATATTTTGAATAAGGAACATTTTGATAAAACTTTCACATTCAAAATAATATTGTATTAAAAAATATATTCGATCAAAGTTGATTTTCATTGATCGAGAAAAGTCAATTTGACGAATCTTTTCGAGACGGAGGGAGTACTTTTTAAAAGAAGGCAGCCCGATGCACATTGTCTCCCCCCCCCCCCCGCAAGACGAGAGTCCTAAACTCCTAGAAGCAGTGGCGTATCCAGAAATTTACGTGAGAGGGGGCGAACTCGTACTAAAAACTTATTATCCGGAAAGTCACAAATAGTGAAACCAATTTAAAAAAATATTGTAAAATTATCTATAAATAACAAAATATTTGTTTCACAAACAAGTCACAAAGTTTTTATTTATATTGTTTCACTCTATTTGCAACAAACAAGCCACAATTTTTTTTATTTCATTTGAAATTATGTTAATAAATAATGAATCATATAAGGGAGGGATGTATTTAGAATTAACTTAAGTTGTGGATATATAACTATATGTAGAAAATAGTTTATCTTAATTGCAAAAATGTCATGGTTGAATTTTAAAAGGTATATGTGAAACTAAAATTGTAACTACATCAAAGTATCTTAAATCTTACAAATTAGAAAAAAGTTAAAACAATAATGTATAATAACCACTAAGTATCTTAAATCTTAGAAATTAGAAAAAAGTTAAAACAATAATGTATAATAACCACTTTAAATTCATTCTAAAGCTTCAAAATGGCCAAAATGAAAAAATGTGGACAAAAAGTAGATCAGGGATTCGATCCCTTGACCTATAATAAATGAGTTACAACACGAACAAAGTTCATCAACCGCTGGGCGGAATGTCATGTTGTTCACAAGTACTATACTATGTTCATAAGACCTTTATATTTAGCACAAAAAATATATAATTGTAGATCAAATATATATGTATACATAGGGATAGGGTGGGGGTTGAGTGGGGGCAGCTGCCCCCCCCCCCACCCCCACGTTGGATACGCCCCTGCCTAGAAGTGTCTGATCTCACTCACCACAAGGGTGTATAAAGAGCAAATTAAACATTCACTTATCATCTTAACAAGTGACAACTCTCAAAATTTGAACTCGTGACCTCTAGTGCACAGAGACATATAGTTAACGGTATGCAAAGGCCTTACTTAAATGTCGATAGTTTGTGTACTAAAATATTTTTGTATAAAATTATCAAAAAATATTTTTCACAACCATTGATGTGGAGTCACTGACAGTGGTGATGAGAAGTAAGTTATTACTATAATAAGGTATTAATTCTAATTTTCATAAATAATCTCAAAACCATCTAGATAGATATTTTAATGGCATATATATTATTTTATCAAATAATCCTTCTTAATAATCTCTCTCACCAATCATACTCTCAAAAATAATCATTCACATCATGTAACACCCCGACCTCGCAGGACCCGAGGTAGTTACTCCACATGCTCTCCAGACCTCTAGTACTTTCCTCACAAACCACCACCAAAACTACTCCCGTGCAAGCACGCTTAACTTGGAATTCTTCGGTGATAAGCTCCCTTAAAAGGAGATGCACCTCTGTTGGTATGAGTAGTACTATTAATCCGTTTAAATTAAATATCAAGTGTTACACATCACCAACGACATCCCCCAAATTTATATTCTCCTTGAAATTCGGATCGTAATGCCAAAACGTAACAATATGTGAGAGTAACGATTTTTGAATTCGTAAATTTATTTAAATTTGTATTGTAAAATATGAAAGCATTGCTTTAAAAATATTTCAAGAATGTTTATTGAATTTTTTTTGTGGAAATTACCCGCATGGTCTAGTTTTGTGCTTCTCATATCATTTATGCCCCCCTCATTTCTTCTTTTAACATTTTTAACTTTTTGGTTTTCAGTTACATTTTTTTTTATTTCAATTTTAGACTATTTTTTCAACTTGTTGTAAGGCTTCTAGAGCGAGGGTTCCAACTCTCGAAGGGGATTTTGCTGGAGCAGCATCTGTGATGGGGTTTTCAACGCCGCGATTAGGGCACTCCGTGGATTCATGGAACAGTTCGGTCCTCCTCGCATCTGGTCATCATTCGTCCAGCATCCAGGGGAACGAGCGCTGCATTTTGCGGCCGCGGAGTACAGAGCGGTGCATACCTCTTCTCCGGCGAGCTAGCGTGGCGGCAATTTCTGCACAGAATCGAATAGAGCAGACATCCTACCATACGAAGCTGGAAACTGCTAGACAACATACTAGGGACACTCTCTTTTCATCACTTGGAGACCAACAAAGATCATGGCCTTTGGATCAGCTGTGAAATCCCTCATACCTGCAGAGATGGAAAGCTTGGAGGAAAAACAGCAACCTAGGCAACCATATAAGTCTGGCGGATGATGTCCAGAATGATTATCAATTCCATATTTACAATCCTATGGCTCACATGAGTTTAAGGTTATAATCAAAAGCAAACCCTTTGAATTTAAAATTGATGGCTCTGTTGTTAGCATGCATTTGGGAAAGTAAACATGGAATCATATCTATTTTGAAACTTGATTTGGTTAGAGTTACTTGTTTAAATGATTCCATTCTCAATACTATTTCTGGAAATAGGCTATGCACTAGATTTGAGCTGAATAAATCCCTTATCATATGTATGATGTA